AGGCACCTTGTTAACAGTTTGGCACGTAAAAAAAACAGCTGTGCACAAAAAAAAGGAAAAAATTAGTTCAGTACTTTAGAGGGGTAAGGAAACGAACTCCGCCATTTTGAACCGCCTCCGCGGACTACTGGTCCTGCAACGACACAACAATATAGCAAAGGACCAGTTGCCAGCGAAGGCGGGCTCAAACTGGTGGAGTTCGTTCCCCTATTCACTTTAGAGCTTTTCAAAGGGATGAGAAAGCTGGCAACTTTATGTTTTTGTCTTTTTTTTTCGCTGACTGTTTTATTTTCTAGTCCTTTTCATCCGCAACTATTATAGTTTGTTGGCTTCCAACTGGATAAGCTAGTTACCAGAAAATCGCGAATGTCGGTGGAATTTATAAGTTGTCAAAAAGAAGCTTCTAGAAGAAAATGTTTTTTCTCAATCCATGGTTTTGTGCTGTTTGTGATGGCAGCACCGGTGAGTATGCTCCAAGTTGAGGAAGGTTTATTACATTTGATGGTTACCTTTACTGAAGAATATGGAATTATGAAAGTCATAGCTTGTCGAGTTAAAATTTTGCAAAACACGCATTATTTTTGCATCAATCAACCTATTACATTGCTCAATTCAAACTCTCCTTTTTACTCCTGCTTCGAAACCTTTCTGATTCGCATGCCTCAATTCAGTTCGAAAGAGTGAAATAGATTTTTAAAATAATCCATTTTACTGATGGGGCTGATCGGGGCGCTTGGAGATCATAGGTAATCAATCACAATTAGAACATTTATTGGCGCCAATCTTATTGTTAGTCAGTGGCGTGTCTGTTGTTTCTATTGTTTTTTCTCAAAAACATCTTCACATTTTCTTTTTTTGCATTCAACTCACTGCTCTTTCTTCAAGGACAAAGAATTCGACAATCAATTTTACCAAGCGCTTTAAGAGCTATCTCACTGGCAGCAAACTCAGAGTGAATCTCGAGTCATAAGTTTACTTTGCAAAAATCGACGTCTGTATTATATTATTGAAGTTGAACGTGGCCACAAAAGAGACTGTTGCACAACTTCATTTCAAAAATCAAGCAGTCCTTGTAAAATTTCTTTTACGTACATACGCGGAGTGGAACTGCAAAAAAAGGTATTTTTTATAATTTCCTTGTAATAGTTTCTTGCTTGAAAAATTTAGAACAAAGCTCATTTTCTATATACAGGGTGTCCGTAAAAAATGTGCCTACTGTTTGATTGTGAATAACTCTCTTCTAACGAAGTCTTTCGAGAAGCTTTAGGCACCATTTTGTAGATCTGGCTTCAACTTAGATTTATAGTATAGAGCGAATCGCCGATCTCTCATTCTTACTGTAGGATTACGGTAAAAACTTTGAACTCATTTTTCAGCTTTTTTTTCGCGTATTTTTTGAGTTAAGCGAAGGTGCAGTATGCACAGTACGCATACCGTAATTTTTATCGACAAATTACGGTAATGGGGATGTTGCAATTAGAATCAGCATCCTCAAGCACCTTAGTCTGAACTTTCTCAGAATTTAGAAAGGTTTTTGCAAGAGTTTTCTGGCTGTGAAAGGCTGAAAAATGAGTTCAAAGTTTCTACCGTAATCCTACAGTAAGAATGAGAGATCGGCGATTCGCTCTATACTATAAATCTAAGTTGAAGCCAGATCTACAAAATGGTGCCTAAAGCTTCTCGAAAGACTTCGTTAGAAGAGAGTTTTTCACAATCAAACAGTAGGCACATTTTTTACGGACACCCTGTATATTTGGAACGCTTAGATTAGAATTCTCAAACTTGCAGATTTACTTTTCATGAGAAACCGAGCATACTCATGTATAGCAGCCAATATTCTAGTTGTTCTTTGCTGAGATACTGATTTTACAATTTGTGCCATTTCCTTTATGAGAAAGTAGTGAAAAGCTTTCAATGAAAATTAGCTTCAAGTTCTTTGTATTTGAAACTTAAACCAAAATGAGTGATTGCCTTTGTAGACCCAAATAGTATCGAACTTTAGAAACCATCGCGGCAAAATAAGAACAGCCAATGTAAGTTATAGAATTCATTATCATTAGCAGAGTTGATTTTCCGTTATCTGGAGAAAGACCATTTCCAAGAGTTCTCCCATTTTTCATTATTCGGAAAAGTTTTGATCTCTTCTTCTCTCAAATCCAAAAGTAAAATATGATAATTTTTTATCCGTAAACACTTGAACGCAGTGAAAGATATAGACTGCCATACTTTAGAGATTGAAATGTCCTTTTTTCTTTGTGGAGTTCAACTCAAGACGAATAATTCAAAGAACAAGCGAAACTTTTGAAAGTAAACTGAAGCTCTACAGAACTGTTGAGGCTTATCTCCAACGATCATCGAATATTGCTTCAAGAACCGTTACGACAATAAGTTGATGAGACATTTCGAATAAAAAACGTATTTGTAAGCAGGCTGTTGTTTTTTCGATACCGCTTTTGTACTATTCTACATTAGTTAACTCAAAAAATAAAAATCGCGAATTTTGCTGAAATTTCGTCTAGGGGGTTATTTTGCTAATTACAAATATTGCATTTATTCGCACGGTAGCGCAATCTGGTGGAGCACCGTAGGATTACGGTAGGGGGTCAAAACCATGGATTTGCCCCAAATTTTTCTAGGGGGGGGGGTTATTATGCTGAGCATGAATATCATATTCACTTCGGGTAACGTCATTTTTTCGGACTACGGTGGGTATACGGTAGATGGTTGAAAACTCCGCGTTTGCTTAAAGCTTTGTATAGGGGGGTTCTTAAGCATGCTAATCACAAATATCATGCTCGATAAGGCTTTGCTGCAACAAACGAATATGATGCTCGTTATAAGCATCTTGGAAGTCCTCCATGCAAAGTTCTGAGCAAATTCGGAATTCAGCCACCTACCGTATACCCACCGTAACCCGAGAAAAAGCCGCTACCGTGAGAATTGAATATGTAAGTCATGTTCAGCGTACCAAATAACCCTCCTAGACGAAGTTTGGGGCAAATCCGTGATCATGACCCCCTTACCGTACTTCTGCCGTAACTCCACGAGATGGCACTACCGTGCGAAATAATTATGATATTCTTAATCATCGTGCAAAACAACCTCCATAACGAAGTTTTAGCCAAATCCGCGAATTTCATCTTTTGGTCAATTAAAATGGAATAGCGCCCCGCTTTATGATTTCTCGAAAAAAAATTGTATGAGAAACTTCCCGTTAGATGTTACTTACTGTTGCTGTATACTCAAAGGAGTACCACAAAATAATCCTTTAGGCCTCGGTTTCCTACGAATTATGGTCGTTATGAAAGAAACTCTCCTATTTGTATTATGAAATCCTCTTATAAGACTCAACGAACGAAAAAGACTTTTCGCGCTATCTTAGATATTCTAGCAAAGTCGAAAATCTGAGCCAGGCAGCATTTTCTGCATTGTGGAAACATGCAGTTCACAAGAACGGTGTTGAAAACACAAAGTAGAGAACAGTTACTCCCAGAATGTTTGCTCAAAACGAAGATTTGCTTTTGTGGCGTAATTAGCGTAAAACACTTCGCTGGCGTCAACTGGTATGCGGTTTGTCTTTTGTTTGAAATACCTTTGGGAATTAGCGAAAATGGAACTAGAGTTAAATGTTGGTTTCATGAAAACAAGTAAACTGCAGATAAGAATGTGTTTTTATGCAATTCATTTATAGGTATCAAACATGCGCGCAAGCTAAAAGTGTAGTCTTGGAATTTATCTCTCAGTCCTATTCGATAGCTTGTCACATACGCAGAACATGGCGCTGTTCGCTCTTGCCCCATCTCAGAGCCGTGTTAAGGTTTGTGTCAGATATCATGGATTCATAAGTACATTCGAGAAGAATTGTTGAAGGAGTTTAAACTTAAGCCGGTCGTAAACGTCCTTTTCTTGCATGAGGACTCGTTTGAGAACTTCAGCCCAAAGTTGTGATAGAAAATGTGTTCAGAGAATGGTTGGCACAAAATTATAGCGAAAAGAAGATTTTGCTAGCTTCCCTGTTCACTAATTCAGTGCTTGAGCGATGAACGGAATTCAATTCCGATTTACGCCCTACAATAGGCTCCCTTCTCCAATGGAGATCAATGAACCGAGCGGGAAATTGAGCCCGAACGAGCGCTGTCTAGAACTTTCCACTGTCACCAACACACAGCTAGGGGGATGTGTTTATTCGTTTATTCCTCTTCACTTATTTCCTTTTCATTCATAAATACTACCATCTCACTGGGTCAGCAGTGTCGTCTGGTCGGCTAGCTCAGTCTAGTTACCGCTACTACATAGCAAACAAATTTACGATTTATAATATTCGCTGAATTCTTCACATCTGTCCCAGTAGGTTCACTCCAGCAAATTTATAATGTCGCTTTAGGCGGATTAAGTGATTAATCGAATATAATTCAATCTAAGGTTACTTATTTACTCGTACACTATTCTAGATAGGACAAATATTCAATTACAATCCATACACTTACATTGAGTGCAGATAGAAAAATCATTACAGATTTGATCCTCACACTCGAACAGAAAGTCTTAGCGAAGTTATACAAGCTAACTTTTCTTTTGCAAAATTCTTTTTATGCAATTAGTTGGCCCAAGATATGATAAGCTGCACAAAGATTTTGAAATTTTAGCACCTCAAACAATCTCAATCCAGAATTGAAAACGTCTTAGAATCACCCGAGACAAGCTCTTTTCGCTAATGGCACTAGGGTAGAGATATTGGCCAGATAATAACAAAATCTTAGCATTATCAGACTTGAATCGGATATCCTTAGAAAGTCATTCAGGCTGAGTTCTCTTCTTCGCAATGCAGTTCAGAATAAAATTGACGAGATAGCGATGAAATCTAGTATTTCATAATGAACCAAGTGATTTAATCCACATAAATTTGAGATGAGCACAACTTTACAAAATAGTAACATGCTTGACATCGGTCTGCTTGAATGATCGATTCATATCTAGTTAGACATGGATGCTTCTTGTAGGCTTGCCCAATTTGTGATCAACAAAAGCTCAAATCAATCAAGATCAAAAAATGCTGCCGACCTCGACTGTCATCATTTCGTTCGCAGATGTGCTGTCCTACGTAAGTTGTTATAAGTAGTTATTTTTTCTTTTGAGCGAAGCTATAATTTATAGGTCGCTGCTCCGGAAAGGAACATTATAAATGGACTTCTCACAATCACTCCAGTTTCTGCAACATTAAAATTGCAAGACTTCCGTGAAACTTTGACCATGAGCGATAGCCTAACAGCTGCACAGGTGGGCTCCTTCGCATTAGTGATCGCTAATTTGAAATGGAAAGAAATTCTACAAGGGATGATTAGACCCACAAAATTTCTTACGCTGATGTATGTCTTTGAGGTGCTTCTTGCAAACTTAAGGAACTCCTCCCCAAATGATTAATCGCATCTGGTTATGTGGCTGCACAGCACATTCGGACATTACTTACAAACTCCCCTGATACAACCATCAGTTTCCGCCTTCCAGCTTATACGGCGTAGTTATTAAAACTGGGACTTCGTGGAAAGTCCAGGCTCAGCGATATGAACATTCCAAACAGACGAATTTAGTTGTGGTATAAATGCGGATCTGGAGACTCTCACGCATCATGTAAAACACTAGTTGCCTTTAGGAATACGAGTTAAAGCCACTTCATAACTAGAGTGCCAAAAACGAGAAAGCGTGTACGTTCAATATGCTTTATCTGCGCGATTCCAAGGATGGCTGTATAATTTTTTCTAAGACAATCGCATCTGTAGAGAAAAATATGTAATGTATAACTTGCATTAGCTAATTCGTGCAAATACCGCCAGTAGAGATTGAGAACAATTTAGCTTCATGCTCTGATGTGATTCTCGTTCTACTTGGTAAGGTGGAGTATGCAAACTAACATGCTAGTTTTTGTGGATATGCGGAGTTTGATTTGGCCTTTCTAACAACAAGGATGGGGTTTTCGCAGTTTCTTCTCATAGACATTTGAACTTGGGTGCTTTTGCGACATTTTACCATTTCACTCACTAGATTACGAAGAGCTTTTCAAAAATCTGTGTGAAATTGTATTAAGTTACCTACTGCGGTGATGAGGGTATAATCTCTCTCACCGGATACCGTTCTCTGCCCCAGTGCCTATTGTGAAGCTTTTGGCAACGTAGACCTTAGTGCTTTGTGTTTTTATCATATTTCAAAAAATACAGGATTAGGTACCGAGTTTATTTGCAAAATGAGCCTATGGTGTTGTTTTTGGGGAGTTTGTAGTCATAACGAATCCGTATATGCCCTGTGAGTCCACCAGCAAAGTCGCGAGTAAAGTTGTGAGTGAGCAATTTTTGTTTCCAGAACCACTACAGCAAAAATAATTGGTAGACTTTGGCTCTCATTAGTTTCTGTCACAGTGACGCTAAGCTAGGTTCTTGCTATGCGTGTGGGAGTCAAATAGATATTGGTGCTGAAGTTGTTATTGCTCTGCAAAATAGATAAAGTACGGTTTATTTAACGCCCCTTAATTTTAGAGTTTGAGCCTTTTTGGAAACTCAAAGAAGCATTGGTGCTAGTGAAAGAGCATTGCTAAAACGGTAAAGATAAGATCAAAAAGGAAACGGTATCGATTTTGAGAACGAATTTTGAGCTGAATACGTTGTTTAGCGTTTGGTTATCATATAAACACTCAAAGTTCTTTTTTTTTTCACTAAAAGCTGCAACCTTTCGCATCGAATTTTTCAGTGAAGTTCAACAAAAGAGATATCTGCTATAAGCCGAACCCGGTTATTTTCGAGCAGCTCAAAATGCTTTGAATTCAGTGCACACCAAAAAGGAGAGTTTTCTATAACTCAAGGACCCTTCCTTGCATAAAGGTACTTAAAGCTTTTTTGATAGATGCGTTGTTTGATGCTCGGAAATACTCTGTGTACTGCTCGCGTACTAGAACGTTTTCTACCATCGACGTCCCTAGGGCCAACGATTTTTTGAGTTTTTTTTTTCAGGAAGAATCTAGTCGCGAAGCATTTTCGCTGTAGATTGTAATATTATCCAGCGGATTGCAAATTTACCAAAGCTATCCATGCCTACACAAAGCTCCCCTACACTTGATCAAGAGCTTCGCTCCGCAGTTCGGGTGCTTTTTTTAAATAATTCAAAGGATAAGCTAATACAGAATGTGTTCAGTATAGAAATTCTTCATCTTTTCATTGGCTCTGTTTTCAAAGTGATTCCTTCGACCAGCGCTCAAATATTCCTCGAGGTTTTTAATCCAACATTCCCGGCTTTAGTTTTTATTTCAGGCATTCGAATAAGCTTTGATGATCAGCGAGTAAAAATGAGCTTTTGAAAATACAAAATATTTTTCACCATTTTAGCTGACCTTCCCCTGTTTTCAGAACAACTCTTAAATCGCAAATTTCAAGAGTGTCGCGCAATTCATGAGTTCCACAAATTGCTAAGGAAATCAAAAAATCTAAAGAAAAAATTTGACTATCATAAAAGCTTAATTAATTGAGCGATGATTGAGCGATTGTCGCGCAAAAAATAGAGAGATTATGAAATTTTTAGTGCGGTAGTACTCGCTTATGAATTAGGAAAACAGAACATTTTTCTGACACATCTTTTAAATAAGCTCAAGGCTCGAATGGTAGGTGAACTTCAAATAATGCCGAAGCGGTCGTCGCAATGTCGAGTCAAAAACGTGGTTGTGAGAAAAAGAAGAAAATTCTGCCGGACATGAAATACCTCTTAGGTCCTTAACGGCAGGGAATTTCGAGTCTATCATATTTAAGCTATCAAGGCAATGTAGTGGTGTCACATAAAATAACAAAATATCAGGTCATTCCAAAAGTAATGTCGCACTTGACGCACCAATTCATTCTCTTTCTAATGGTTATATAACCTCTGCACAAAATGACCTCTCGAAAATTATCAAAATCTGCGACCCATGGTTTTTGAGAAGACCAAGTTTCACAATTTTTTAAATTTTTATAACACCTCCGAAGGAGTCCAAGTAATAGGTGGATTGAGCAAACCCTATAGGTAACATCACAGTTTTTTCTGCTTTCCAGAGCTCGTCATAATTTTCGTATAGATTTTTTGATGGAATTACCGAATTTTAGCAGGCTTGTTTCAGACCCAAATGCACCAAACACCAATAAATCTTCGGATTTTGAAATCTTGAAAAAAAAGGATTATGGTTTGACACTAATTTTACAAACCAAATGAGCATTCACCGCTTCAGATTAGCAGCTTTCGAAAATTTCAAGTACAGCCTGGGTCGCCCTGGAAAACCTGAATTATGATGATTTTATCCCGGAAACCTGATAAATCGCAAACTAAAAACAACTAGAGGAGAAAAAGGCCGAACTTGACCATGGCAAAAAGCATGAACGCAGACTTTGGTAATTTTTCAAGAGCTCGTTGATTATTATGCATTGAAATTACAACCATTAGAAAGAGGATGGAATGCTGCATCGAATGTCCCTAAGATTTTTTGAAATTTTTGATTCGATGAAATGTGCCGTTCATTTGTAAATAAACGACATTACTTTCGGAACGACCTAATACATGAGATCCCCGGGGAATGAAAGGGGAACAAAATTGAAAGCCTGTATATTTCATTGCCAACTCAACTTTTTGCGACTAGCATATGATAGATCTCTAGCTAAGAAAACAGTAGTGATTTAGGTTTCCATCTGATTCGCAACTAAAATTCTCAAAAAGGAGATGGCACGAATGACCTACTGCGTACAGGATGAAATTCCTTGCCAAAACCAATTATAACACAAAACTACGAAAAAGCGCCTTCACAGTCCTCATGATCGTTGTGTAATAATGAGTATTGATATACAAGTGACAAAAAATCGTTCTTTTGTTTCATAATATTTTTATTGCTTTTGGAGCAGTTCATATATCATGAAAGGGGGGGGGGGGAGGGAAAGAGGGGGTGCAAGAGGATTTAAAGGCAGAGAGAGGTGCATCTATTGGGCGCAAAAATCAAACTTGAGAACTGTATTAGTAGCATTAGCATTCATTCCCATTAGAACGATGGGAGGCCAGCAATTCAAGTCAACCATTACAAACAAAATAATGTAGAAACTGAAAAAAATATCTGGAGGCTTATGCAAAGATGCAGCATGCAATTTGTCTCACACCTTCAAACTTATTTTAGTTTCAAACTTTGGGAGAGGGGGGTTTGAGATTTCGTAGGCTTGAACAATGAAACCGTGTCCGTGATCTCGCGATTGCATATAAAAGCAAAAGTTTTCCACGATTCAACTCGATCTGGTACTTTATCTCCTGATCCACCTTCTTGCTTTGAACAAAGTCTCAGAAATCTTTCTCGGAATCTACTCAGACATGAGTGGGATGCTCATCATTAACATAAAAGTTCCTTTGTTCTGATGCTGACATTCTTTGAATTTCGGTTTCTCGCTGATGATACTTTGTTAAAATGGTATCTGGTAGAGTCGGCTGCACGAAATCGCCCGGGTCCCAGTAGGCTGCAGGCTCGAGCGTGCGTGTAGCGCGGCTGCCGAGTACAGGCGCTATGCTAACTCACGCGCGCGAATGCCAATGTTAGCCCGCAAGAGACACGCGCGCGAGTGTTCAGTCCGGGCGATTCCGTGCAGTCAACTTTAGCTTGCACTGAAGAATGCTCCTTTGATACTGATAGCTGTCTCGGATTTTAGTCATTTCCAAGCAGGGTTGAAGGAATTTGTTTCCAAGGGATATCTTAATCTCCACAGCGTCCGCGATCAGTACCTAATCCACAAGAAGACTCTAGGACTCACATGCGTTGGTCCGGTCCTCTAATGTGGCCTCTGAATGGAAAAAATGCTGAGGTATTGAAAACCGTCTGTGACTTCAGGATAGGGTTCCTAGAGATCGTATTTATTTTTTGTGGGAGGTGGGAAGGGAGGAGGAAGAGTTGCACATTTTTCACCATATCTGTAGTCAGGGCCACGGAAAAACTGCAATAACAAAAAGAATGAAAATTTGGGTGGATGACTGCCTTCAATCATCTCCTGCGGTTACGGACGACAGGCCTTTGGTTCCTCCCTGCAGCGCATCCTAGCATTAAATAGGACTTTTGCTGCCCTTTACTCAAATTTTTAGCAATTCGCATAGGACACGGATTGATAAACCTTTACCTTTCGAAGATCAAGATATGGTTCTTACTACCCCATGTTGTGAGTCAATGGAAGAACTTCCAAAATAAATTGAGATTGATTGAAAGGCA